AGGATTGTTGTTTTCCTTGTGTTATCTTTTTTCACTTGTAATACATCTGACAGGCTTTGGGCGTTTCCAAGCATTTCTAAACTTTGAACAAAAAGTGTTTGGTTTTGGTGAAATTTGCGAAAGATCTGACATTGTGGGGTGTAGTTACAAGTTTTTCTTTTGTCACGTCGGAAAATCTTAAATCAGCCCATAACCATTGCCATCATGCAATAAAAAAAATCATAACCATAATAATACATTATTATGAAGATAAATTGGCTTTTCTTACCAGAATTAAAGGCATTCTGGCAGAGATCATAAAAACACAGCGCCATAACCTCCTGGTGCCATTAGGTGGTGCTATAACTATGTCTGAGTATTGACTTGTCGACTTCAGGGTAGGACTCCTATCATGCATGAGAAATCTGGTACAAATTGGATCATGCACATTTCATTTCACACAACTTGCTGTTTCATGGCAAAGCATCACATCACCATGGCAACAGTTTTTTTTCTTAAAAAAAGTCTGAAGTGCACCAAAGTAGCATCGTAAAATTTAGGGAGCGAACTGCCTGTGGGACTTTGGACATGGCTCCAGGGGACTTTTTCATTTTTCTAGACAATATAGATGTTTCCAACATTTCAGAGTCATGTGGAAAAATTTCGTCAGTTTCCAGCACCTTTAGCACCTCAAAACTTCTAAAACAGTCAAAGTCTACATCGAAACAGAAAAGAGGGGGCATTTTTTAATGGAGCCACTTTATGATAACACAACTCTTATAAGGGTTTATAAGCTCTGATAAATGTATTTATAAGTGTAGGAAGTTTTACAGGTCTACAGTGTTTCACAGTATTATAGATCAGTAGCCACAAGTGCTGTCAAAGAGCCACAAGTGTCATATTAGTCTATCTCCTGTACTGATGTAGTTCTGGAAATAAGTGCAGCTGAACATTTTAGCCTGCTTTACTTCATCCTCATATTTGATGTTTTAGGCATGGATTAAATAAAACTACAGACTCAGCTGAGTAGAGATGAGTCTGGCTATGCATGCTCCATAGTATCCAGCTAACATTTACTGTCACCTAAAGGTCTGAAGGTCAAAGACATTTTAAAGCCTCTAGGTGTTAGCCTGATTCTTACTTACCATAAGAACGTCAGTGAAACAGGCAGTTTGGTTGGTAAGTTGGTTAAAACAGTCAAATCTGATGAATAAGGGAAGCAAATCTAACCAGGAAAAATTTAACTGCAATGGCAGGTGATGATCCATCCATCATCTATACACCGCTTAATCCTCACTAGTCATGGGGGGCTGGAGTCTATCCCAGCCGACTTAGGGTGAAGGCAGGGGACACCCTGGACAGGTCACCAGTCTGCAGGTGATGATATTTAGACAATTTAAGCACGATAAACAACATACATCCACATAACTCTGTATACTCTGTGTGAGTGTAAAAGTTGTGGATCCTCAGTGAGGTTCCTCTGAAGGTTATCATCAGCGCTGCTGTTGCAGAGATCTGCTAGCATCAGGCCCTGTTTTTTCAAAATGAAGCAACTGTCCAGTGCATGGAAATGAGATGGACACCAAACCTGCATTCTGGATCCTCAGCAATGTGAACTAAATGCATGTTGAAGTGAACCATAAAACTGATTCCACTGCTGCTGCTGCTGCTGCCAGGTGAAAATCACTGAACTGTCCTCTGGATGGTGAGAGTGACAGCATGTCTGGCTTGAGGACTTGTGAGGACAACACATGAATTTACTTTGATCTGGTGTCTTTGCCGTGGACCTGAAGGTGACATGTGACAACAGTATGGGTCCAGAGGTTTCATCCAGAATGTGTCAGACTTGAGGCTGCAGTAGATGACGTGTTGCATGATGTCTGGTTTTGTCACTCATGCTCAAAGGCAATGTGCTATTAAAGTGACATTATGAGAGCTGCAGGTTATAAACATTAGAGCTTCACATGTATGGTTATAATAAAAGATCTATGTAGAACCACAGTAGTTACAGACACAGAGAACAGTCATTTAGTTGTTTTTATTATGCTCATATATATAAAATCACATTCACAAACAATAGAAACAATGCATTTTAAGCCATTTTAAACAAGGTTTTAACAAAGGAATCTGTGAGCGATGTGTTCATTGATGAAACTCACAATTAATACATTCTGACTCATGTAATCTGACATGCTTTCATTTTGCATCCCAGGCCCAGTAGCGGTATGGAACTGAATAGCACTTTCTATCAGGCAGCTCGGTTTTATTCCTTTACTACATCCAAAAGTCCACCTCAGTGCAAACTGTATGCTTGGAAAACAACTGAATTGCACCTCTATGTAACAACTCACTGTTTTCTTGTTTGCTGCTTTCCTCTGAAACTGTCAGCTACTATTATGGAGATGTGAACACAAAGCAGGAGCACAAACACGCTCATCCAACAACAATTAAAAATGTATTTTGACTGAAAACTTTAGGTGAAGCTCGCCTCTAAAGGTGGGTCCACAGCAACTCGATGATGAAGATCAAAACGTCCAACCTTGTCTCTGGTGTCGGTAAGACGAGAACATCGGAAGAACTCCAGCACTGCTTCTGTTCCAGCTACTGTTACCTCATCAGGGCCAATAATGTAAAATGGAAAGCAGCACAAAGCACCCTGATTCATTCTGTGTTGACTCTGAGACAACGAGCATGAGATGAGGAGCTGGTCAGAAGGACTGCAGGATATTTTTCTCTTGCTGAAGATGGGATTATGGGATATTTTGAATAGTCACCAATTAACCTCAGCATGTTTCTGGACTGTGGGAGGAAGCTGGAGAACCTGGAGAGAACCCACGCTGCACGGGGAGAACATGCAAACTCCACACAGAAAGATCCCGGCGTCTTCACCGGGACATAAACTGATTAGAAAAGAATAATCAGACTCAAGTTTGACTTGCAAAGGACTTGGTCCCACCTCTGGCAGCTATGCAAAGCTGCTGCATCAACGGAAATCACATACAGACCCAGGATATGCCATGGGGGGGGGGGAGGGGGTAGGAGAGATGCAGGTCAGGTTGAGTGAAGCATGAGTGAAGGGTGTATGAGTATACATAGGGGGGAGGTTCTCATGCCTTTTTGGGGACGGCCCCAGCATGACTTTCAAACCAATACATTTCAATTGGAATTATCTTTCTTGTCTGGGACTTGTTTTTCCCATCAGACAGCACATATACTGTAAAGTTTTTGTCATTCTTTTTTTCCAACAGTCAGGCATCAAGCTGTTTTCCTGTTCTGGCCCGTCCACACTAATAACTACAGAGATCACTATACAGATGTGTGGCCACACTGACCAACGTTAACATTCTGTAAACACATGTGTAAAGCAAAATATATCCAGACAGAGAGAAGCTGTTCCGAGATCGCTCTGAAAGTGATCCAACGATATCGTTCATTGCCATTGCTGCTTTCTGTGATAAAATATAAGTGCTTTTACTGTGTTTGGGCTACATGCTCATCATTACTTTCATTTGTCTGTCAACAAATACAAGACAGACACATGCAGGAAAATGGCGACCGGAACATGTACTGTGATCACAGTGATGATAATCTGACTGTTGTAACTTAGAGACCAGCGGTGGGGAATGTACCTGCAGCTTCGTGCAGCTTTTACCTCGCCCATCGAGGCTGGCTACATTAGCTACTAGCCTAGCCTAGCCTAGCCTAGCCTAGCTGCTGCTTCTTCTTCTATTGATTTGGCGGTTAGCATTCAGGTGCATTACCACCACCTACTGTACACACAAAAACATTACAGACTGTGTAGGACGGATCTCTTCTGGGTCTACGGCGAGGCTGCCTGCCATTAGGAGTAACTTTGGGTCCAGTGTCTTGCCCAAGGACACGTCAGCATGCTGAGGTGGCAGCGATCTAACCTTGTGATTAGTGGACAACCTGTTCTGTCACCTGAGCCACAGCCACCCGAGAAAGAAGGAAAAGATAAAAAAGTAAAGTACATTTTACGCCACAAAATGCAAAGTGCTGCATTTAGAACTGGAAAAATGAATAAGCTTTAGAATTTAAAAGAAGCCAAATAAACGTATCACTGATAATTGTAGATCCCTCCGTGTTACTCACACATTAAATATACGTCCAGCTACAAATG